TTTGGGGGGGGGGGGTGTAAAAGAGTAAGGGCCATTTCAAGCCTAATTTAACTAAGGACCTTCAAATAATTTTCCGGACATGCTCTTAAGTCCAAAATCACCATACGAAGCTATTGGAATCATCAAAATTCTATTTCGGGGTCATTTTCACATAAGTCAACATCAAGTCAATATTTTCAACTTAAGCTTTCAACCTTGAGACTAAGTGTCTCAATTTATTTCGAAATCTCTCCGGACCCGAACCGACTACCCCGATAAGTCACATAATATTTATAAAGTACAGAATGAGCAGTAAAAAGGGAAATAGAGTTATAACTCTTAAAACGACTGGCCGGGTCATTACAGAGAAAGCTCAGATGATGATGATGAGGATAAACGAGCACTTATGTCCATTGGAGAATCCAATAAAAAAAACTTAGGTACAAGTGAAAGGGAACAGTCAAATATGGTACATAGATAGTGGCTGCTCAAAGCATATGATAGGAAGCAAGAACCAGTTTTTTTCACTTGAGGACCTTAAAGGAGGTAATGTCTCCTTTGAAAATGGGAAGAAAGGTGAGATCATTGGGGTTGGAAGGGTAGGTAAGGCTGATCCTCACTCTATTGAGAATCTCTACTTGATAGATGGACTGAAGTACAGTCTAATAAGTGTATCATAATTGTGTGATAGAGGTAACATGGTAGCATTCACCTCTACAAAATGCTTTGTGATTAATCTTACCACTGACAAGATAGTTTTGCAGGGAAAAAGAGTGAACAAAATATATGTTGTGGATCTGTCCGCACTTTCAGATAATGAACTCACTTGCTTAAGTGTGTTGGATAATGATCCCCTCCTTTGGCACAAAAGACTTGGACATGCTAGTCTAAGCCAACTCAACAAACTAGTTTCCAAGGACTTGTTGATAGGGTTGCCTAACATTAAGTTCAAGGAAGATAAAGTTTGTGAGGCTTGTGCAAGGGGGAAACAGGTAAGATCCTCTTTCAAAAGCAAGAAAACGGTAAGCACTACCAAGACGATGGAACTGGTCCATATGGATCTATGTGGTCTAATAAAAATACTAAGCATGGGTGATAAGAGATATGTTATGGTGCTTGTTGATGATTATTCTAGGTTTACTTGGACATTATTTTTAACATCTAAAGATGAAGCATTTGACATGTTCACTTTTTTGTTAGAAAAACTCAGAAACAGCTAAGTAATCAACTTGCATCAATTAGGTTTAATCATGGTACTAAATTTGAGAATGCTAAATTTGATGAATTTTGTGATGAGCATGGCATAAATCATAATTTTTCTGCTCCTAGGACTCCACAACAAAATGGAGTAGTTGAAAGAAAGAAGAGGACATTGGAAGAAATGGCTAGGACTATGCTTCTTTCTAGTAAACTGCCTCATAGTTTTTGGGCAGAAGCTGTGAACACTGCATGCTACATCATAAATAGGTGCATGACTAGACATATTGTTGAGAAGACTCCCTATGAGTTACTTAAAGGGAGAAAGCCAAATATATCTCATCTTAGGGCATTTGGATGCAAGTGCTTTGTGCACAATAATGATAAAAACTCCCTAGGTAAGTTTAATTCCAGAAGTGATGAGGGAGTATTCTTGGGATATTCTTCACATAATAAAGCTTATAATATTTATAACAAAAAAACTATACGTGTAGAAGAAAGTGTACATGTGGTTTTTGATGAAACTAACATTCTTTCTGTAACGACCCAATCGGTCGTTTCTCTTTCTAGGTCCTCGTTCCTCTAAATAAGACTTTTCATATGTGCTTTTACTGTTTTATAACTTGCGAGTATGGTTAGTTTGGTATTTGGAAGGGTTCGGGTTAAAATCGGAATACTCGGTTCTTTAAGGTTGGCAAAAAAGGCTAAGTTTGACTTTGGTCAATGTTTTGAGTAAATGACCTCATAACCAGGATTTGATGATCCCAATAGATTCGTATGATGATTTTGTACTTGGGTGTATGTTCGGATCGGGTTTTGGATGACCCGGGAGCGTTTCAGCGCTTAATATTGATGGTTGGCACCTTGAAGGTTTTAAAGTTCTATAAATTTGGTTTAGAGTAGGTTTTGGTGTTATCGATATCCGTTTTGGGTTCCGAGCTTGGAAATAGTTCCATATGGTGATTTAAGACTTGCACGCAAAATTTGGTGTCATTTTGAGTAGTTTAAGTATGTTTCGGCGCGTTCGGAGTAAGTTGGAAGAATTTGAAGTTCATAAGTTGATTCAATTTGGTTTGGGGGTGATTATTAGTTTTGATGTTGTTTTATGCGTTTCAAGGGTGCGAGCGAGACTTTTTTATGATTTCAAACTTGTTGGTATGTTTGGGCGGGGCCCTAGGGGTCTCGGGTGTTAATCGGACAAGGCGCAGACCAAGTTTTTGACTTAGCGGATATGGCTGAAGCATCCAGCTTCTGGTGCAATCGCACCTGCGGAAGGCCAGCCACAGGTGTGAGCTCGCAGAAGCGAGCCAGCAACCGCAGAAGCGGCCCAACAAAGGCTGCCATGAAATCGCAGAAGTGGGGGAAGGACCGCACCTGCGGAGGCACAAGTGCGAAGCAGACGATCGCAGAAGCGGGGGAAGGCGCAGGTGCGACGTGTTCACCACAGAAGCGAGCCGCTGGTCGCAGAAGCGAGGAAAGCCAGCTGAGGGGAGGACCGCATCTGCGAGGCCCTTTCCACAGATGCAGAGCCACAGATGCAACCAAGGAGCCGCAAAAGCGAAAGTCCTGGAGGCAGTAAGCTTCATTTATTACGGGACTTAAGCCATTTTTAGCCCATTTCTCTCACTTTTGGGCTATTTTGGAGCTTCTTGAGAGGGGTATTCACCTAGCTACTTGTAGGTAAGTAAATTCTATGTAATGTAAGTTAAATACATAGATTATGGGTAGATTTTAATATGTAAATTTGTAAAAATTATGGGTTTAGACTAAAAACCTAGATTTTGATAAAAATGGGGTTTAACCACGAAAATGGTTATGGAATTGAGTGAAAAATTATATTTAAGTTCGTGATATGGGCAACAACTTTCTTCAAAAATTTCCGAAATCCAGGCACGTGGGCCCGAGGATGAAGTTTAGGAATCCTTCAATTGGGGTTGGGTAATCACTCTAATAGTTAGAATATGAACTGAACATATATTAATTGATTTATACAACATTTGACTAGTTTCAGATTGTTCGGTACCGAGTTGAAGCTTTAGAGTGAATTTGAGGCCGGAAAGTGAGCTTTGAGATGAGGTAAGTCTCTTGTCTAACCTTGTAAGAGGGAATTTACCCCATAGGTAAATTAAATAAATATTTGCTTCTAATTGTGGGGGCTACGTACGTACGAGGTGACGAGAGTCCGTGCGTAGCTACTAATTATGCTTATGTCCGGGTAGTGTTAGGTCCCAAATCATGAATTATTTGAAATATTTGCACCCTACTTGTTAATTAAAGTTCCTAAATTATATTAGAACTTGTTAGAGTAATTGTGAAAGACCGTTAATGGAATTTGTATTACATTGGGTATTGTTGACATCCAATTTTGTCCCTCCTTTCTTCCAATTAATTTTTTTGAGTTTCTAATTTATTAATACATCAAATACTTTATTTTACAATGCTATTTTTCATTTACTATATATTATTGTTGTTGTTGTTGTTATTATTATTTTATTATTTTTATTATTATTTTTATTATTATTATTATTACTACTACTACTAGAATTACTATTGTTATCAATTTTATTATTAACATCCTTAGTATTGCTACTACTACTGTATTTTTAATATAATTATTAATATCTACTTAATATATTATAATATGACTAAAGAAGTTAATTAGAAATCCTAAGGAAATTGATTTGAAGAAAGAACAGGGCCATAAATTCGGCCAAGACAAGGTCCATTGTTTCCTCGCCAATTATTTCCTCTCAAGCCCAAAACCCAAGTCCTTTAGCAACTTGTCTTAGCAGCCCAAATGACTTAATTAGATTACAAAGCCCTAGTCTCTAAACAATTGCAGACACCCCATCTTCCCTCTTTCCACTTTCATGCTAAATCTCAGTCCCTTTCAACTTTCGACAGAACTAATACACGAAATTTTTGCACAAACTCATCCTTGCTTTGACCCAACGTCTCTTTGCATCGATTTTATTTTTTCTTTCCCTGCAACCTCACTGAAAAGCTGGGGTTTTCACTTATCTGATTATGAATCCAAAAATCGAATTCAAACGGCTCCATTTGACTAATTTTGAAATCCGAAATTCAAATATTTTTCCCTATAAATACCATTGTTTGGAGTTGTTATAGGGGAGACTTTTTGGCCGCCACCATTTCGGAACTTCAAGGTTCTTAAAGTCGTTTAGTTCAGTTTAAAGGCTTACACGAGAGCTGGATCCACCTACACTAGTGACTAGACACACGAACCAGTCACCTTTTGAACACTACTACTTTGCCACTCTCATCACTGTTATAGTCTCTAAAACACTCAAAAAATCTCTTACAGAACTTTTCTTCCGATCGAGGTTCGAATCTTTTCATAACGAGAGAGTAGATTCGAGGCCAACATCATCCCAGTTCACTGCACCCAGCAAGGTCAGTGTTCGTTTTTTTTTCTCTTTTCTATTCTGTCGATTCTTCGCAACATATTCATGGTTTGTTGTCTATTTTGTTTGAGTGCTATTAGTGCCGATTTATTTCCACCCTTTAGATACCATGTTTTTAGGTAAAAGAAAGGATATCCTGTTTAATCAATATATAACGTAGGGAGCATGACTTCAGTATTAATATACTACTTTTATTAAGCAATTGTTAATATGACATAAGAATTGTTTTTCTGTTAAACTATTATGTTCTTTTCTTTTTCTGCTCTTAAATGATTAAAAAAGAAAGAAGAGACTTTATGTTTTAGAGAGCATGCCTATAGGAAAATCTACCTGTCTGCTCGTTTGATAGATAAAACAGTCCATGTTCGAACATTTTAAAAGTTTTTGACATCAACAATATGGAATTATCTGAAGTAACTTAAGTACGAACAGAAAAGTGTACATATTTATTCGTTAGACATACTTTTAGGACTTAATAGTGTTTTGTCTAGTCTAAAGAAACTAATTGTTTGCAGCTTGTAGTTTTTACTCTACCAAAATATCTTTTTAAAGTTGTTGATGATATGCGAAGAATGCCATTTAAAGTTGTTAAAAGTGTACAATTTTAAAATATCTTTTTTAAATTGTTAAAGTTGTTTGCAGCTTGTGTATATGTATAAATTAGTATTAAAGCTGTTTAAATTTTGCATAAATATTTTATTTGAACACACTTGACAATTACTATTTTACGACTAAATTTATATACTTCTAAGATTGAACCCGCTTGCACAAAATTTTAGGTCCGCAACTGATCTAAACAACAGATCAAAGAATATAAAATCTTCTGTTGGAAACCGAAATATGGCTTTCGATCATTTCACTGTTACTTAGCTTATGTTACTTTTCCGATATTGTGACTAACAATATTGTTTGTTTAGTGGCATATTTGTTTTGATCCTGGGTTTGTTATGACCAACTCTTTTAGCTATTTAAAATCTTTACTCTAGCTAATAATGAAGACACCTTTTACATAGAATATGACATAGGCATGAAGATTTTTATTTCCATTAAGAAGTGAGGGTGATAGACCAATTTAATTTTGGGGTAGTATTTGAAACAGCTAAGCTCGCTATTTACCCAAGTCAAAACCTGGTTTTCTTTCTTAAGTTTTGGATACATTGGGAGAGGGCGTAACTATAAACAAGGGTGTTTAATAAAACCTGACTTTTTTTTAGTATTAAATTCAATCACATTTGATTTACTTGGTTCCTTAACCTATTTGTGTGGCAGAAGTGTACTTTCTTCCCAAAATAAGACATTTTGGCCTCAACTCATTTTGTTCTGAAATAACTTCCATTTTAAAAGCAACATGGAATTTTTCGTTCGAATTTTTTCAAATCGTGCTTTTGAAATTGGCTCTTTTCGTGACAATCTTTCTTTCAAATCAAAGTTATTACCTTTTATTTAATCCTATTAATCAATTTATTACATTACAACAGTTAGCTTTATTTAACTTTAGTCCGTTCGGTTAACCATTTCATATGGATCTTAAAGGGTGCCTTAAAAACCTTCCCTTTAGATTAATTGAACCCTTACCTAGAATCTTTAGGTTAAATAGACTATTAACATAGTTATACTTTATTAAATTACTTTAATCAATTTAGGTGTCCTAATTCACTTAAGAAATAATTAGGTGGCGACTCTATTACTTTAATCAAATTCGAATTTGCCTATATGTTGTACTCTATTTTAACCAGTTTAAAATGGGGTGTAACAGGCATTAGCCTTTAATAACGTTTAAGTCAAATGCTTATAAAGTATCCTCTCTTCTTGTGAAGCGGGCTGAACGCCTCGACAGTAGATAAATGCATCTATGGTTCATGCCGCTCGATCCTCGGCAATGTACATATTATTTTGGATCGGGCTGTACGACCTCGGCATAATCGTGCGTGATAATACTCGGAGTTTAATTATACATTTGATATCATTTCATGGCTTGAGAGGTTGAAATCATATATGATTGAATTAAGTTGGAAATTTCGATGTGTGAAAAAATTATTTATTTCCTGCTTGTTAATGAGTTATTATTATTATTATTATCATATATATATAATCCATGCTTATTTAGAACTTTTGTACTGCTATTGTTAGCCCATGGTAAAAGTGTCGTTGTCTACCCCTCGTCACTACTTCTTCGATGTTAGACTTGATACTTACTGGGTACATGTTGTTTATGTACTCACACTACACTTCTGCACTAACCGTGCAGGATCTGAGGCAGGTGCATCTGGTGGACATACCAGCGCGCATCCCCGTTACCCGGAGGCCTAGTGGTGGGCTGCTTCCCGAGCTGTTTCGCAGCACCTAGAGTCTCTCATTTGCTTTCATTTTCTGTCTATTTTTGTTTTAGACAGTAGCTAGAGTTTGTACAATCAGGTCTTGGCACACACACTAGCAGATTTTATGATTTTGGATTATTACTATTGTTATGATTGCACTCAGCTGCTTTCGTTTTATTTATTTAAATCTGTTGTTTCTTAATCTTTTAACTAATGAAAATTTAAATACTTGAAAATTTATTAGAAAGAGGAAATCACATGGTTAGTCCACTGTTGGCTTGCCTAGCGGCGACGCTGGGCGCCATCACTGCCTATAAGAGAATTGGGTCGTGACACTTTCTAAGAGGCAGGAACATGATGATGAAGCAATTGGGCTGGTAAAAAACTCAAATGAATCCACAGCCCATATTGAAGCTGCACCAGAGGAAGGAACAGGTGATGGAACGGGTCCTTCCACCCAAGGCAATGTGACAAGGGGAACTGAACTAAAAGAAACTGATCCTCAAACCTCGAGGGAACCTGTCCATGAACTTGTTCCTCAGCAACAAAATATTGAAGGAACTTCTAGGGGAAACCAACTGGTTGTGAAACCTTACAAGTATAAAAGTTCTCATCCCATTGAGAATATAATTACTGATCCAACCTATGGAATCAAAACCAGATCCTCTTTGAAGAATCTTTGTGCTTTTGATGCTTTTTTATCTCTTATTGAACGTAAAAATATTGTTGAGGCTTTGCAGGATGCAAACTGGGTGAATGCAATGCAAGATGAACTCAACCAATTTGAAAGAAGTCAAGTTTGGCATCTGATACCAAGACCCAAGGACAGACCAGTAACTGGCACAAAATGGGTCTTCAGAAACGAACTTGACGAAGATGGAATAGCTACAAGGAACAAGGCAAGATTGGTGGTTCAAGGATATAGTCAAGAGGAGGGCATAGACTATGATGAGACTTTTGCTCCAGCTGCAAGATTGGAAGCAATTAGACTCCTTATAGCCTTTGCTGCCTGCATGGAATTCACTCTCCATCAGATGGATGTCAAGAGTGCCTTCCTCAATGGCTATCTAAAGGAAGAAGTGTTTGTCAAGCAACCTCTGGGCTTCGAAATTAAGGAATGTCCTGATCATGTGTACAAGCTTGACAAGGCACTTTATGGGCTCAAGCATGCTCCAAAAGCATGGTATGAAAGATTATCAAAACTCTTGCTTGAGCATGGCTACAAGAGAGAAAAAATTGACAATACTTTATTCTTGAAAGAAAAAGGTAAAGATCTCTCGGTAGTTCAGATATATATTGATGATATAATCTTTAGAGCAACTATTGATAAGTTACGTAAAGAATTTGCTAAACTAATGGGGAGTGAATTTGAAATAAGTATGATGGGTGAGCTTAATTTCTTCTTAGGCTTACAAATTAAACAAAATTCAAATGGAACTATGATCCATCATCAGAAGCATGTGAAAGAGTTGCTTAAAAGGTTTAAAATGGAAGACTCCAAGAAAATTGACACTCATATTGCAACAACCACAAAATTGGATGTAGATGAAGCTGGTTCATCTGTTGATCAGAAGTTGTATAGGGGAATGATTGGCTCCTTGTTATATCTTACTGCTAGCAGATCTAACATTGTTTTCAGTGTAGGCCTTTGTGCTAGATTTCAGGCAAATCCAAAGGAGTCTCACTTGACTGTTGTCAAGAGAATCTTGAGATACCTAAAAGGCACCATTGACCTTTGTCTATGGTATCCAAAATGAGGTAATTTCAACTTAGTGGGATATGCTGATGCTGATTATGTAGGTTTTTTTGTGGATAGAAAAAATACCTCAGGTATGGCACATTTTCTTAGTTCATATCTTATGTCTTGGGCCACCAAAAAGCAAAATTATGTGGCCTTATCTATCGTTGAAGCTGAGTATGTTACTGTTGTGCTCAATTGTTGTGGATCAAACAACAATTAATGGATTTTGGAATTGATATAGGTTGTATCCCCATCTTTTGTGATAACACTAGTGCAATTAGTATGACCAAAAACTCGATTCATCACAAAAGAACTAAGCAAATAGATGTTAGGCATCACTTTTTGAGGGACAACTATGAAAAGGGTTTGATCACTGTGGAATATTGTGCTACTGACAAGAAAATAGCTGACATCTTCACAAAAGCTCTAAGTAGAGATCACTTTGAAAGGAACATATTAGAATTAGGGATGATTAAGATCACCTAAAAGGAACCAGTTCAAACTCAAAAATTGGTTAGATAATTTGTGAATTTTGTACATAATTAGATTAGATTTTGCTCAGTCTCATACTTTCACTAGTATACTCTTGTGCCATGTGCTAAAATATCTCATTAATCTCTAATGATATTATCTTTATTCTCTTAAAAAATTCAGACTTACACAAGAGATTTCTCAGTGAAGAACCTGGTTCATCAAGATTACTTGGTACGTATTCTCCACTCTGCATATTTTGAAATAATTATATTTGGATTTTGATCAAAAGGAGAGTCCTATTTAATCCTAACATTCCTTGAGCTTATCCGTTATAAAATGAACCAGTGAGAGTCCCAAAACGCAATAAGTGCCTAGATTCTAGGGAGAGTCCTCAACGTCTTTTTAAAATGACTCCAAGTTTGATTAGACTTCTGAGCTTATGAAAAATTTGTCGTTACCCAATTAAATTCTCTATATTTATATTGATTTGGCCTTAGCCGTTTCTTCACTTCTAATTTCCAGCCGCCAAATATTTCTCTTAATCTTCTTTCATCTTCTAAACACACACATATTCCTTCTACCATCATCAATGGCTAACCTCTCTGAAAAACTCTCATCACCATCCAAAGAATCCACACCCACACTTTTAACCAACCTTACACCCAGGAAAGGACAAGTAAAGGCTATTGCTCGTAAGACAGTGGCAGGGAGTGAATTATCCAAGAAGTTATATGAACAATTGAAAGCAACCTAGGCACAAGAACCCCAAAAATCTGAAGAATAATTTAAGTTTGCTACTAAGGGGGAAGAGACGGTTTCATCTGAAACAGAGCAGGTAACATCTGGTCCTAAAATTACATCTGAAATATTTTTTGAGGTTGTTCTGGTAGGAACTGGAAAATCTGAAAATCTGGAAAATAGGTTTGTTCTGGTAGGAACTGTGTCTGGGTTTGAAAACCACTAAATTTGGGAAAATTGGTGGTAAAGATAAAAAGAAAAAAGAAAAAGAGAATGAGGGTGCTCAAGGTGATGTGAAGGGAATGGGAAAAGAAGGAGTGGCTGAATCTTCATCCACTCATGTTGTTTTGACTGAAGAAACAGGAGCTATGGTATTGTGGAGTGAGGAATCTGCTAAAGAGGAAAACAGTTTGAGAGAAAATGGGGGCAGTGGGTCTGGAGAAGCTGTTGGGGGTTGGTTAAGTTGAGGAAGAGGTTTAAAGAACATGTTCCATCTATGTAGGAACCCCTCGAATACCTACTGAAACGTGTGTCTGACATCTATAATCCAAAAAGGAAGAAGAATTTAGGAATTAAAATTTCTAGAACTACTAGGGCAAACAAGAAGAGAAGGGCTGCCTCTTCTATCCCTGTAGAGACTCATCCCATAAGAGGAAGAGCTACAAGGAGTCAGAAGAAGTAGAGTGAGGCTGAACTTGAAAAGGCCTTGGCAAAAAGTAAAAGAAAAGTTACTGCAAAGGGAAAGAAAAAAGTGTGTGAGCCTGTTAAGGCAGTTGAAATTGAGGAGATGGACCTGATCCTTCATGATAAAGAGAAGGCAGAAGAGGTGGAGGTTGTGACTCCAAAGGCAAAGAAATTAAAGACTTCCAAAAAGAAGTCTCCCTCTAAGACAAAGTCTGCAGAGCCTTCTACCTCGGCAAAAAGAACCAGGTCTGCCATGAAGTCTAGAAAAGTGAAAGTAGTGGAGGAAAAAGAGAGTGAAGAAGAAGAGGAATCTGATGAAGAGCAGGACATGACGGTTAAATTTAGGAAAATAACCATCTTGAAGGGTAGACTCCTTAGGGACTTGGAGGAGGAAGGCATGATGATGATGCTGGAAAAGCTATAACTGCAGGGTTGGAAAGACAAGGTCCTTAAGATGGATGGAAAGCTTGCCAGAACTGAGATTGTGGAGTTCATGGCAAATTGTGAGATCAAAAATGGCAGAGTCACCAGTGTGGTAAGGGGGTGACTGTGAGCTTTGATGACAAGGAATTGAGAGAAATTCTGGGAGTATCTGCGGAAGAGTACAATGATTGCAAAAAGTTAAAATGGCCAAGCCTAGAAAACCTCCCCATCTCACTTGCCATTACAAGGAAGTTTGATGACAATGAGGAAGAGCTTCAGCCCAAGGCTGTATACAAAAGTGAGATGAAGCCACCCCACAAAGTGTTGTTTGAATTTTCTAACAAGGTTGTGTTGCCCAGGCAGGAAAGAAGGCACATTGCCACATTCATAGACCCGATCCTTATGGAATGCCTGGACAGTGGGAGGCAGATCAATTGGCCTGGGTTTATCATCCAGCTTCTTGATAGGGTTCTAACTGGCACTAAAACTCATGCCATACCTTATGGTTTCATTCTCACGGTTGTACTTGCTCACTTCAAGGTACCCCTCATGAAATGGGATGTTAGTACAAGCAAGGATCATTTTGGAGCAAACACCTTGACTGCTTGTGACTATGAAGTCCATGTTGCTACCAAAGAACTTGGTTCATCTAAGAAGGTGCCTGTGAATAGCAAAGTAAGAGCTTTGGTGCAAGAAAGTGGGGCTATGAATGCTGATATTGAGAGGCTGAAGAAGAGGCTGGCTGAAGTAGAAAATGAGAGGGATGCTCTCAGGGCTGAGCTTGCAAAGGATAAGGAGAAGAATGAAGGCATTCTTCATGATATGTTAAAGCTACTTCAGGCCAGAAACCAAGAACCTGGTCCTTCCCAGCCTTGAAACCTTCCTGGCCTAGTTAGACAAACCAATGACCCGGATGGGATTTCTTTTTGCTTATGATCCAGTATCTTTATTTTTCTTTATGCTTTGTGGATGACTAGTTACAATGTTAATCAACTATTTTGTGCTCTAAATGTTGGTTGATGCTTCTTAGATAGCTAATATCATTAGATTGATATATGATGCTTGGCTCCATGATTACATTTGAAGTAGCCACAATGGCTATGAGTAATATCTATTAATATCTGGTTATCTAATATAATTATGCAACTTT